CAAGGGTGGGTTTATTTTCTTTTCTTTCTCCTACTCTTGAAATATGAAAAAAAATTTTTTTTTTCTTGGTACTGGGGATTGAACTCAGGACCTCACGTGTGCCAGGCAGGCAGGCACTGTGCCACTAGCTACATCCCCAGCCCTGAATAGTGAAAATTTTTATCCTGAATGTTTCAAATCTGAAAAGTCTCTGAGGCTCACTTTCTCTTCTGTTCTTTCTTCTCTCCTTTTGGAGCTTTTAATAGATGTGCATTGGAGCTTCTCGTTCTAGCCTACTTGTGTCTTCATTTCTCTTCTAAGCTTTCCATCTTTTATTGTACTGTGTTCCAGCCTAGATAATTTCATGAGAACAATCTTCTAATTTGCTGTTTCTCTCTCTCATTGGGTGGGAAACCAGATTTAGACTGTAACCAAGCAGACGTTCCAATTTAGGGCCCCAATTTGTTACTATTAACTTCTCTTGAAATGTTTGAGGAGGATCTCTTTCGGACAGTCCCAGGTACACAGCATACTGTGAGGAGGGATCCCGCACCTTGGTGGGTTCCTGGTGTGAGTGTGGAACAGGTAACATTCTTCGTAGATTGGCCTCTGCCCTCTCTCCACTTCCCAGATCAGGAGAGGGAGGAGTGTTCTTTAAAGAAGGAACAAATTTTCAGGGTTTTGTTTTGCTTTTTACCCACTGCTTAGAGATTTTTACATGCGTGATGAGGAATAGAGATTTACACAGCTGTACTGAATTGCAAACGCTTCAGAAAATCATTCATTATCTGAATGACTTATTCCTATGTAGGATTACTGCACCATGCCTGTCTCAAACACATTTTCCAGGGAGCATGTAAGTCAGTTGATTTAATGGACTTTAGACCCTCACAGAAAGCTCAAATGTCAAATCCATGAACAGGTTTGCTGTATCTGGCATCAGGACTTTTAAACCAGTGTATATGACTTGGTAGTCATTTTAAACTCTTCTTCAATACATCACTACAATCTGATAAAATTGTAAAGTAGATACTATTTGTCACCATCTGTTGTGTGGGTTTTCTCTCCACCCAGAAAGAATTATAAGGCAGAAAGTCAGGGGGACTGAGCAAAAGTGTTTATTGTAGAGTAAAAGCAGAAAGCCCCCCAGTAGTGAGCCCAGGAGGGATACCTCAGAGTAGGGTGCCTCAGAGACTTCTTGTCTGGGGTTTTTATTCCCCAAAAAATGGCTTCACTGAACTAAAATTACCAGCACAAAAAGAACGAAGACCTTCTGCAGAGAGGTACTAACATCTTATTCCTGAGCAAGGGTCTCCACCAATCCAAGGAGGCCTTTGCTTGCTGAGCCTCCAGAGCCCTTGCCTTAGCTGCTGTCTGTCCCTGAATCTTCCCAACTCCCTCTTTCGCTGGGCTTTTCCCTGGCTGCCTGTCCTCTCTGCGGACCTCTCTTTGCTGGACCTTCCTCACTCCCCTCCTCAAGAGCCAGTGTCACTCTTGAGAAATCTTCTCACCTTCACGCAGGGCCCTGCTCATCCTCAGCATTTTCTACGCACACTATGTTGTCCTGGAACCAATTGTTTAGGTTACTGTTGGGAGCCTCCTGCTAGATTAGGAGAATGAAACAGGAACCTAGAAAATAGAACACACATCCAGCCACAGCTGTTCAGAGGGCTCGTGGTCCATTCTCCCCAGGTCTCTTTCTGTCAGCTTGCTTTGCTATTTGTTGAGCATTGGTTACCAAGGCCACTGTACTAGGTTTTTACTTATGTGACCCCTATTTTTACAAAACATCTCTGAGGTGATATTATCCAAATTTTATAGATAATGAAGTTGAGCCTTAGAAAAGCTAATTAATGGTCCAAAATGGCATGGTAATTTATTCAAAACGAACTGGTAATTTTCTTCATTATCAAACTTGGTTGATTGTTTTAAAAATTCCAAAAGCATTCTGAAAGAGCAAACAAAGAACTTGAAATAGCAGAGAAATAATTAATTTATAATCTAAAAATATCCAGAATACCACAGCCTGTGCTTCAGCAATGCATTGGGTCTTTGTAACCTGAACTATACTTTCCTCCAGGTAGTAGATACTGTCTTGCTTAAACCTAAGACAATGAGTAATAATTATCTAAACAATATAATAACTTAAAATATAATTTAAAACTACTCCAGGTCTTCCTTGAACTTGATAATAGTTGAGAACCCTTCTGACTCTTGCATACCCCGTTTGAGGGCATGGCTGGGCAAGGAAACTACAGAAATGTTTTTGTTTGTTTGTTTGAGACAGGGTCTCACTTATGTAATTCAGACTGATCTGGAACTCACTATGTAGCCCAGGCTGGTCTTAAACTCACAATGATCCTCCTGCCTCAGTCTCCAGAGTGCTGGGATTATAGGTGTGCACCACCATGTGGAACTACATAAATTTAAAGCTGATATTTCTTTTAATCAGTTTGACAGAGACATATTCTTTGCATTGAGAACACTCATTTAGTAACTATAAAACGTCACTATCAAGGTAGGAAGCATATATTTTAAAAGGATAGAAAGTTAATTCTATTTAATTAATTAATTAATTAATTTTATTTAATTTTTGGTACCAGGGATTGAACTCAGGACCTTGTGCTTGCGAGGCAGGCAGCAGCACCACTGAGCTAAATCCCCAGCTCCAACTTTTTAATTTAAATCTTTATCAGTCCATGTTTGCAGTAATAATGATTATTATGCTCATCATGGGGTGTTGGTACAGGTGCATAACACATCTTTTTAAAAATAATTAATTGTATTGGTACATGTAAGGTGTACCATATCACATTCATCATTGGAAATGTGCACCTTTGCATAGTCCATCTTGGTTCTCGTTTTTCCCCATCCCCTGCCCTCCCTTCAACCTCTCCACCCCTCCCTATCTACAGAGACTTTGTTTTCATTTTTTCTTCTTCTCATATTAATTCCATTCCCCTCTTTCTTTTCCCCTACCCTTCATACTTCCCCTTCCCCTTTGAACGTTTTCCTCCTATTTCACATTATCTATTATACCTTTTAGTCCTTATTTACACTTTCAGTTTCTCACACTGGAGAAACTATTCAGTATTTACACATAACACATCCTAATTCTCTTTATTATTTCCCCTCCCTCCGCCTCGATCCATCTCTAAGATCCTTTTACTTGCAAAAATTTCATCTCCTTGTTTCCTATTGTCTATCTTTTATTTTTGTTCTAAATCTTTAAATTTTTCTTCCTTTTTTATTTATTAAATTTATTAGTACATTTTAGCTATATAATATGATGACATTCATCATTGGGGATTTGTACCTTTATATGATGTAGCCTGGTTAAGGGGAGGTGGAGGGGTTGCTCTTTAAATTTTTTATACTTTGAAGAAATTCATTTAGCAAATATTTATTAAGGACTTACTTGGCACCAGGGTAGCTCCAGATACAGAGTGGAGAACAGAACAGATGAAAGTCCTGCCCTCCTGGAGTTTACATTCATTCAAAAATAAACAGTGAATGCACATTGGCTTACAAAGAACAGAAAGCAAGGTCATGAGATCAGTAGTCACTGAATGTGTGGGGAGAGGTTAGCTCAATGGGCCGAAAGTGCTCGAAAGTAACCGGGGAAAGTCTCACAAAGGAACTGGGGTGCATCAAAATCCTGAAGTGGTCAGATATTCATTCTAGTAAGGTCAATGTGCTGGTAATATCGAGACTATATCTACTGCGGGCAGGAAGACTAATTCAGTAGTGTTGCAGAAGAAGGAACGTCTGAAGTGAGGTGCAGTCAAAAAACAAAAGGCAGATGAATTCATGGTTAGAAATGACAGAATCCATAACTAATTAGAACTGAGGGACAGGTATGGAGGAGCCTGTGCTGACTCCTAAATGTCAGGCAAAGTCCTGACTCTTCCCCAAGTCTCCTAGACAGAGAGGAGGTCCTGCCCACCGTATCCCCCTTTGCCTGTCCTTCTCCACAAGAGGAGTCAGCTCATTCCTTCCAACATCCTCATGCTTTTGCTGATCCACTCTGCGTGGAAGCTGCATTTCAAGAGAATGCTACATTTGGAGTTGGAAGATGAGCCCGGGGACTTAGCATCTGTCACAGATGTTTTCTAAACTCTTAGATAAAGCTTGGTTCTTCTCTAAGCCTGTTTCTCACTGGAAAAAGACATACGTGCCCTGAATAGGATCTGTTGGCACCTTCTTGGTTCAGCATCCTAGGCTGTACTTACACAAACATAGGTGTGCAGTTGAGCCACCACACTTGACCACTTGGTGCCACAAGAGACATGGTAAAAGCAAGATCCATGAGGCTGCTGCTGACCCAACAGAGCAGGCTGTTTTGCAGTCTAAAATATCAACTGAAAATACAGTGTAGTAAATACATAAAGCAGTAACATCGTTGCATATTAGAACTGTTAGCCATTATATAATAGACATTATTATATGTGCTACCTTTTTACTTTACTGGCCACACAGTAGCCATCATCACACACGTGAGTAATGTTTTTGCTACACTGTGATGTTAGGGACAGCTGGAATGTCACTAGATAAAAGAATTTTTCAGTCTCATTATAATCAGATGGGGTCATCATTACATACGTAGTCAGTTATAACCCAAACTTCATTATGTGGCACGTGACCATAGTGCCATGAAGATATTAATTAGGTAGAACCAGATACATTTCCTGTGGTCTCTTACCAATTACTGACCCAATTGGAATGACTTGGCATTTTCATTTGTTTGCTTTTCCTCATCACATTCATTTCTTGTGCTGTGACAGTTGATCTTTTAGTTAGACGTGGAAAAAGAAAGATCCTTGTCACTTTTGAAAGATTTTGCTATTTCGATAAATGTCACTAGTCAACTTTTGAAGGAGAGTGCTGAAGACCAAAGACTGATGGCTGCGTGGAGGAAGGAATGCAGGCTGGTTGCTGGTCATCTCCAGGAATTCAAGTTCCTAAAGTCATGAGAAGAAAAAAAAAAACAAGAGGGCATCCATCATAAGAGAACTATAAAAGGCTACTTACCGCTGGGTAATTTGAAGGTCAGCTTGCTAAGAAAATCTAGAAAACAATGGAAAGAGCATGAAGTCAGTACTTAGGAAACCTGGTTCGTTATCAAGGAACAGCCAACCCTGGAACTTAGACTGTTTACTCTTCACTGTGCCTCACCTTCACAGGTTGGTAACAGAAAAGGTGAATTCTATTTTACAAAGATCCTTCCAAGTTTTTTTAGGGCATTCTACAGGAGAGTTCTCATCACTGACATCCATTTGTTACTCCAGAGTCCAGTACGTTGTAGAATGTGTTCATCATTCCATTTTGTAACTTGTAATTAATTTCTTTGCGCATTATTTGTCTCTGTCATTGGGCCACTGGTTTGCACAGGAAATAAGCACTTTCTTTTTCCTTTCCATGTCCTGATACATAGTGTGGTTTTTGCAGAGTCCGCACATTATGCATTCATAAGGAGGAAGCAAGGAAAGCAATTGACTTTATTTTTGCAATAAATACAATCATAGAGTACTTTAACCTTGTATTTATGCTTTTTCCACTAGTATATCATAAGTAATTTGCCAAGCTTCAACATTATAGTCATATATTTTATTTTAGTGAGTTATTTTCCATAATTTACAAACCCATTTCTCGAATGGCCGTAGTTCTACAGTTGTTACTATTAAATGAAGCTGTGATAAATATTTACCTGTGTAGATAAGATAACCATCTCCTAGAACCCAAAGTGCTGATGTCTGATGCTTCTTGATTTCTGACATTTTTACTAGGTTGTTCCATATATCATTTGGCCATTGTCATCTGTTCATGTCCTTTGCCCACCCTGTTATCAAAATCCTCTTCTCCTTTATTTTTAAGTGCCTTTATTACTTAAAAGACATAAATATGCTATGGATATGTTTCCATGTCATTATTTGTATTTTTCCTGGTTATTTAGATATCCTCAATTTTAAATCTTTACCTGCCTATGTGTCTCAGTTTTATCTGTTGTAGTTTCTACCCTACCTTTCCTTTTATGTTTAGAAATTCCATTTTGACCTTAGTAAATTTGTTAAGCAGGTTTCTCTCTTGGTTTGTTTTCTATTTATGTTTTCTCTGGTATAAATTACCTATTTATGCCCTTTGATCATTCATCTCTTCTGATTCTGCAGATTTCCTTAAAATTAACATTTAATTTACATATAAATATATGCATACACAGAGCGCTTAACATTTTTTCTAACATATTTTCAGCTTCTAATAGTAGAGTTTGACTTAATTTTCATATGGAAATTTAATATTATCACCTGTCTCAATATTTATCTTTATTCCAAATATAATTTTTTCCTAAAAATGTGTACATAGTATGGTTCTAACTTATTCTTTTTATCAAATTGCTATCAAGAACTGATGATATCACCTACAAAATTATATTTCCTTTCCCCCTTGTTCTGAAAAACTTCCTTGATCATATATTAAGTGATTATGTAGAGCTGGATCTATTCTGAGATTCATTCGGTTATGCTGATCTATATGTCTATTTTTGTTCCAGTAAATCTTGCATTTATTTGAGGAAAGCTCAGATTTCCTCTCTTGAGTCTTTGCTTCTGCAGGCTAAACATTTCCTGTTCTCTCAGTTGCTGCTCTTGTGTTGAGCCCCCTTGCCCTCGCCCTGAGCTAGAAGCAGGCACTTGTGAGATGACGACTGACCTCAGAGCACCATGAAGTGGCCTCACCTCGAGAAAGAAGTGTGCAGAAAAGGGCAGGGTCCAGGCAAGGTAGCAGAGTGCAGAAGTCCAACATTGGCACAGGGGTTCAGACTTCAGCCCCACTCTTTTCTTCTGTGTGATCTTGAGCAAGTTTCTTAAATTATCTATTTTATCTCAACTGTAAAATAAAGACATAAAGGTATCTACTTCATGAGATCGCTGCAAGATGAAATGAGACAGTACAAATGTAGGAATTGATTATATACACTGTTACTACTGCTGCTAAAATATAAGCCATATAGATCCATTATTTCATTTAATATTTGGGGTTTGTTATTAATACACAACAATTTCATGTCGAATGAACCAGACAAGACAGGGTCAGCAAGTTTCCCAGAGGCACCAGCTAGCAGAAGAGCTGGAGGGGGCATCTCACCTGATCAGTTCAGCACTGAGCCCTCCCAGAGGTGACACTACCCACAGCACAGATAGGTGGGTCCTTGCATTCTGCAGTGGTTATGTGCAAGCAAAACTGTAAGCTCTTGGAGAAAGGTAAATATTTATAGTGTTCAAACTCGGGATACTGGTGTCTTGACTTTTCCTTTGGTGTCACCAAGGAAGGGCTTTAGAGTAATGGGAAGAAGCAATATGGTTTCATCTTAATCTGCAAATTAGCTGTGTCAAAACATATCCTGTCAAACCAAGTTCTCCTTGACATACTGCTCCAAGTGGCAGTGACACAGGCCCAGAAGAATTTGTCATCCCCACAGAGTGCCAGAGGAAGCCGCACATCCTCCTCCTCAGCACCTGTTACCTGTGCTCTCAGGAAGGCTCAGCCCAGGCATTCATGGCCTCACACAAGGCTGCTGAGTTAGACACGACCGGAAGGTCTAATTTTAGTCCACCCAGCCTTGGCGTTGTCCCTTTCGGCCAAGATATTTTTCATGTGCCACAAAAAAGTGCTTTGTTCCAGCCTTGCTGGATGCTTCACAAAGGCCCAGCAAGGACAGAGCAAACCTGATTCAGAGCTGGATACACATCAAAGACAAGAACCTCACCAGAGAGGGTCTGCACCCCCTGGCACCTGGCAGTAGCTACCCTCTGCCACCACCCTCAGGAGCCCGAGAAGGGGCACTTGGCTTTGCCTCTCTTTCCACATAACTCCCCTCCTCAGGTTCTCTTGTGACCTCCAGTGGGCCAGTCATCCTTGCCATCAGGAATTGAAACCTATTCCTGCCTTTTATTCTTCCCCAACAAAGCCCACTCTTTTCTGTTTGTGTGGTTTTTTTTGTTTGTTTGTTTGTTCGGTATGGGGGGATCGAACTCTGGACCTTGTGCTTGCTAGGCAGGTGAAAGAACCACTGAGCTAAATCCCCGGTCCTGTGTGTTGTTTTCTTTCCTGTCATTTCATGGGAAATGCACCAGATTAAGAGCACAACAATCTACAAGCTGCCTCTATCATTCATTTCTTACAATGAACTTGGCCAACTGGGTGAGGCAAAAAGTTTCATAGAACTTGTATGCAGACAACTGAAGTTCACTAGGACACAAATTTCTTCTGCCAAGGTCACAGGAAAACATTGGCAGGGTTGGTTTGAAACCTGGCTCTGGAGATTTAAGGAAAGATATGGGGCCATGATGCTATGAAAGCCCAGAAAACCCACACAGGCCTTTGGGAGAGCCCTAGGAAACTTTCAAAGGGGATCAACTGGTTTTGTGGATACCATTTCCAGGGATGAGGTCCTTAAATGGTGGGCTTTCATTTTCTTATTTCCTGGAAAACAGGCAGGTAAAGTTGTCCCAGAAATGCTACTGTTTCCCAAGCTTTCTTGGATCTTGCCTTTGTCCTTTGGGCAGTTCCCTTCCCAGTTTCATTGGACCCAGCCCTGAGAAGAAGTGACGACCTGTTGAGTCATCATCTTTTTCTATCTTGGAATTTTCCACATTTGAATTTCAATCTTAATCATTATAATGAACATCAAATATTGTGCTTCAGCATTTAGGAAGTTCTTTCCTCTCTTCTGTCTTGTTTAAGCCTTGTGATAAAGGGTGGCATTGGCACTGTTATCATCAACCTCATCAGTGCCAAAACGGGCAGCAGAGAGTTTTCTGACAGCAGATTCCGACCCAGGGGTCTGACTCCAGCACTGTGTCTCCACATCAGGGCTTGCACAGAGTGCTGTGATTTCAGCCTGGTATTCTCCTGAGTGTCTCTGTAATTATCACTTCGTTCAGTCCTAAAGAACGGACCCACAGTACCAAAGGCCTTTGGCCTACAAGTGGCTCCTAAAAGAGTGCTATCGGGTTTGGAGAGAAAGCAGCTCTAATAGAATAGCACCTCAGCAATTTTCCTTCCGGGTTTCCTGAGCCTGTGGTGTGAACGACAGACATGCTGCTTGTTTGTTAGAATAGAAATTGTCTGTGTATGTATTTTCTGATTATGAATGTTACATGTGCTCGCTAGAAAAGGTCAGAAAGACATTGGAGGAGAGAGGGAAATGTTAGCATTACACTGACAGCAGTTACAACCACTCTTAGGATTTTGATGTAAATTGCAAACTGGCTGAACTTCCTGTGCACACAGCTTGAGTATATGCATAAAGCAGAAGCAAGGTGATGCTATGTGTGCCTCACTCCTTTGTGTGACCTATTATTTTCCTACTTAAAAGTTTACTACAATATTTTCTCTTCTTTTGTCTTTCTTTTGGGGGCCTCAAACACATTCTTATATTAATCACGTTACTCAGTTCAGAGCATACTGTCATGGTTGTCTCTATAAAGACTTCCTTGTGTTGTTGTTGTTTTTCTGGACTTGGATTGAACCTAGTGCTTCTCATTGAGCTACATCCCCTTTTTTACTGAAACAAGATCTTGCTAAGTCACTGATTTACCCAGGACAGGCTCGAACTTGTGCTTGCTTCTCTGGCCTCAGCCTCCCAGAGGGCTAGGACCTGCCCAGCTATCTTGTGGGAGCTTTTATGCATTTTTAATTTTCTTTTTTGTCTTCTATCCTCTTCCTCCAGCTTATGGTATTTAATGTGTGTCTTCAGATAAGTGTTTATCCTTGAAATTATGTCATTTGCTTGTGTATTTGTGCTTGATTTAAATAAGTGACACTGAATCAGCACCAACCCATGTCAAAGCAAGTCTATTGCATCATTTTCAGTGGCTTCATAACCTCCTCTGTGTAGCTCTACCAAAATTTACTTAAACGGTTTTCTATGCTGAGCATAGCTCATTTTTTAAGAGGCTTTCCTAAAATCATTTTAAGCCATGCTGGGGTAAATGCTTTTACCTATATGTCACTGCAGACTTGTGTGATTATTTCCGTGAGCTCATTTAGAGGGACCACTTCAAAAAATATTCTTCACTCCACCTTTTAGCTTCAGAAGCTTTTTCCCCACGTCCCTAACAAGAGTGTGCAGGTGTGCCCCAGCCCCTCACCTTGCCTCCACTCTGGGCACTTGACACAAACATCTCTGATCCACATTTCGCAGTTCTAGTCTCTGCACGGAGAAGCGGAAGCCCCTGAGGGCAGGGATCACATATCTGCTAACGGATCCAACAACAAACCAGGGTGCTGAGCTGTGAGCAGTGTTGGGTGAGCCAGGTGAGCACTCTGGCCTGAGGAGTCCTAGGCTGGTGAGAGAGGCAACTTTTATGGCAGACACTGTTGTGGCAGGGCATGTGTGGACAGTGGCTTTACAAATTGCAGTCAAGGCACAAAAAGGGAAGCCAATGAAGTCATCGATGATGCCTCATCCATATCCTGAAACATACTTTAGTGGGGCCGGGGATTTAGCTCAGTGGTTCCACCACCTGCCTCGCAAGCACAAGGAGCAGAGTTCGATCCCTGGTACCAAAACAAACAAACAAAAACACTGTAATTTACTAGAAGAACAAGATGGAGCTAATGAGAATCGCCACTGCCACTACCACCACCACCCACACACACACACGAAAGAAAACAGAATTGGGAGCATAGAGCGGGGTCACGGGGAGACAGGAGGTCACAGAGATGCTGAGCGGGGCAGGAAGGAGAAGGGCACAGCTGGGCCGGCCTTCGAAGTCCCTAGGGCTCAAGTTCAGGGCACGGATGCGAGAGGCCACTGGAGGGTTTAAACAGAGCAGTGACTTGACCACATCTTGTGTTTTCCAAAGATCGTCAGGCACAATGCAGAGTGAATGTCAAGAGGGTGGGACTGGATGGGAAGGCAGTTTAGGAGCTACTGTGCTCCTCAGAATGGCCTGAAGCAAGGCCCTAGCAACGCAGAAGTAGATGGAGGTGAGAGTTAGGAGGCAAAATCCACAAACTACTCACCTTGACAGCCGGTGGGCACAGAGACATCAGGGGTGGCAGAGCCAGTCAGTGAGCCCAGGCAGGCCGCAGGCTATTCACCCAGAGAGCAGCAAACGAAGAAGGCGGTCAGGAGCTGGCTGATAAGCATGAGGCAGGCACGTTTGGATGCTCCATTGGGTTTGATGCGGTTGAGGGGACTAAGGGGGAAATGTCTGCAGGCAGCTAGATATGTTATCTAGGGTTCAGGAAAGACCTGCCTGGAGCTAGATTTGAGAACCACATGACGATACTGAGTTAAAGTTTGTGGGATAAAGAAATGAACTGGTTAATTTCAGCATCTTTCTCCCTTCGAGTAGAATATTTAACTCACCAAAGCTGTCTCTGTAGGAGAATTCCAAGTTGTCTGCATTTCAAACACACCCACAGGAGCTGAAGTATCTCTGTAGAATTACTGCAGGGAGGGCAAGCGCCTCTCACAGGGGAAAGAGTAGTGGCTGGAGAGGCAGAAGAAGGGAGGTTGTTCCTGGGTGACTCAGTTCCATGGAGACCTGTGACACGCTGCTCGCTCCCCTCCCGAGTGTGCATGGCTCACTCTGAGAGCACAGGAAGGTCCAGCTGTGTGACAGGCATTGCACAGAGATGGGGCACACTCCCGTCTGCTCTCCTCTCTCAGCAGCTCCCTGCTGCTCTGAGATAAGGACCATCGCACCCGCTCTCGCTGGGACTTGGCAGCACAACCTAGAACACAATCTGTCGGACAGAAGGCTGTGATTATTAATGAAAGCATTTCCTCCGGTACCTCACAGAGCTAAGTGAGGTTCTGACACTGCCAAGGATGGCCCATTTCCTTTC